TATTTATTAACTCCATCGATTAGTCGATTAAAATGTTCATTTTAGGGCAATAAATTTTCAAATTAGAATGAATAGAATATTCGACGATACAACGTAAACACGATGGACGGAAACATTTACAATTCTAGGGTTTGTAATTCGTTAGCCCATTTATTGCCGCCGCTATCGATAGTCTCCAGCCGTTATCAGATCGACCTTTTTTGACCTGAAACGTTAACTGTCTATATTGGAACAGTACAAACACGTGCCCAAGCGGGCGCTCACATATAATTAGCAACTAACATTGTCGCAATTTGGAAGTTTAGAAGTGGTTGCCGCTTATGTTCGGACCCCTTGTATTCCCGGTTTTGGATACGGTTTATTAAAGGTTTAATTGTGAGCCTTCAAGCCGACAGTAAGCTTTTGAAGCACATTTTCGTAACATCAAGACAATTAATGTAATAGGTCGATTTGGATTATTGCGTAGGGTCCTTCCGAGAGTACGAAATGACAATTGGAATACAGGAGATGTTATCAACATGCTTGTTAAATTTATAAATACTGGATTGAATTTGTTCAAAAACTTTCTTACGTTTTTATATAAGTCGAGAATAAATTAATTTAAAACACAGTGGGGCTCTTGGAAATGGGGATTTATTGAAAATTAAAATCTAAAATAGTTTTATAACTTTTTTCAAAGCTATCCGTCTTTTTTGTTACCACAATCATATACACATGTTAACCAAAACTAACCACTTAAAATGTAATTCAATTTATGTTTTTTCTTCATTTCCAATATAACTCGAATTGGTTCTATAGTTTGTCTCCTATTTTTCATAGCAATTAATTAAACCCAACTCATATTGCCGTCCAGCATTTTGAATATTCCTTCTTTAATCTATACTATTCTATACTTTTCACTAAATTTCTTTAATTCCACTAAATAGTGGAATGCAAATACAAGGGTTAGTTTTATCATTCTGGAATAGTCGCTCATCCTCAAAAGTAAATCTAAGAACTGTTGTTTCAATATTTTATTTTCAAAACGAATAGTTTCAAATAAGATAAAAAACGAACAATGATTATTGGCAAAAACAGTGTATAAAATATATATGTTATATAGCAGAATATGGCAAGTCTTTTATTATTTTTTTTTTATTTTTGACTACCTTTAACTAAATTTACCCAAATATTGGCGAAGCTTCTAAAAAAATATAATTATTAGAAGAAAAAACGAAGAATAAAATTCGGTTAATTTTTGAGGTGGGCCTCCTTGTCCCAGGGGGGCCGTCTTGCCCCAAACTGACCCTATGTTATTTATTGCAGTATTCACAATGGTTGCGTATTTTAAATAATGACAATTTAAATTGGGCAATTTAATAAATTTATATTCCTTTAAGATAATTTTTCACATTTTTCATTATAAATATTGCAGTTATTTCCTTAACCACTTGGAGTAATTAAAAACAATTGAACAACGAACATTTCGAATCTTGAAGCTAGTGTGCTTATGGCTTTCTGAATTTTAGTTTCGTAGCAATAAGCAAGTATTTGGTAATTTCGGTTGTTGAGTTGATAGAGAATATTATTTAAAATAACTTGGCCGCTTACTATTTTCAAAACTTCTGGATTCCTCCTGCATCGGTTGTTGTTGCGTCAAACTTGCTAACGTTTCGCCAATCATCGTGTTGGCTTCTTCAGAGTTTAACTGAAACTGAAGAAGTCGACAGGATGATTGGCGAAACGTTAGCAACCGATAAAGGAGAAATTCAGAAGCTTTGTAAATAGCCTGTGGCAGTTTCTTTGAAAAACTTGGCAACTTGACTTTTAGCATAATGCCATAATATCTGGATAATGTAATAGTTTCTGCAAAACTGATAATTTTTTCATATCTCTTTGGTCACTTTTTGAACTTTAATTAGTTCAAAACCAGGCTGTCAAAAACGAAACGAAATTATCGGAGGAATTTACAATATCTAAAGGCCTACGGCAGGGCTGTGCAATCGCTCCTACATTGTTTAAGGTATACCTGAACACCACGTTAAGACATTGGAGACGCAGCTGCCCAAACTTGGGAATTTCTGTTGGTGATGATAAACTCTTCACAATGCACTTTGCCGATGACCAGGTCATTTTTGCTGAGGATGAGGATGATATAAACTATATGGTCAGGAAACTGATCGAGGCGTACAAGTCTTGGGGTCTATCAATTAATATAGAAAAAACAGAATATCTTATCGCAGGAGGCACAAACAGATATTTAATCCTAGATCAGGGAACTATGAAATGTGTCGATTCCTACGAGTACTTGGGAGTAAATATAACAAAAAGTGGCACTAGTGCAACAAAGCAGTTAAATGAAATACTGTGGAGTACCCAAATTCCACCAGAAACTAAAATCAGTATTTATAAGACCATTGTAGAGAGTATTACAACCTATTGAGCCGAAGTATGGGAAATGACTAATTATTTACGTAAAAGATTATTGGAAATGGAAATGGACTACTGGAGACTCTGTTGTGGACTAACACTGCTAGACAAAATAAGTAACAATGAGATAAAAGAAAGAATGAAGATAGACACCACCATTGTTGACACTATCGAAGCCAAAAGTTTAAAATGGTAAGGCCACGTATGTCGAATGCCGGATGATAGATGGCCAAAAAAAATATTGAATTGGGTTCCTCCAGAAAAAAGAAAAAGAGGACGCCCCAGAACCACATGGGGAGACGGTATAAGAAACGACTGGCTCACAGTTAGGAATTGAGCAATGGAATTCCTATAAATAAACATTTCGATACTTTTAAGTAACATCGCCTTAAAAGGTTCGGAAAGCCTGGTTAGAGTTTTTGTGACTTGGAGCAGTTCTCGCTAAAACTTACGTTCTGTTTACATTGGTCATAAATTATTTGGGTAATTATGTTGTTTCGTTTTACTTTTTAAGGTTGGAGACAACTTACGAAAGCACTGAAAAAGCATAAAATGCGTCTTAGAAGTAAACATTTAAACGTAGTTTATGGAGTACATTCATAATTAGAAGGTCATAAAAGCGTCAGGCGGTTGAGGAAATTTAAAATGAAGGAGAAATGCTCTATCCATGTGCAAAGCTTTCTCTGCATTAAACTTTCATATTGCTTAAAAATAAAGGAAATTAGTTTTTTATTTAACGAAACTTATTTATTTTTTGGGCAGGCTTAAAAATGATACTTTTCATCAATTTCTTCCTATTGCATAATATCGATAATGATGGAAATTCTACCAGAGCCTACACGGAGAAAAATAATTAGTTTATGAAAAAAAGCACATTTCTTCTGATAAAATAATTTAATTCATATCGAGCTATTAAATATCAAATTCAATAATATTCAATCGGTCACCAATGAATTGCAAGGCAGTCATTTTACAATATCGGCAAAATATGGGCAACTTTTTTACTGCCTATTAAAAAAAATATCCTTTATAAAAATTGGTCTAGGTTGTCTAGAATCTACAATATCCAGACATACTAAACTAATGGTAAAGAGTTGCAATGTTATGTCATATTTTCTTACTTTCTTTTTTTTCCACTTACAAATTCTTCTATCTGCGCAGATGTCTAAAATAACCCATACGTTAAATTTATTTTCTTCAATAGAAACAATGTTTCTACCTTTACTTGTTTACATAATTTAATTTAATTAATTTAATTAATTTAATTAATTTAATTAATTTAATTAATTTAATTAATTTAATTAATTTAATTTATTTAATTAATTTAATTTAATTTGTACGTACTTTAAAACACCGGAAAAAGATGTTTCTCTTGCCATCCAGATAATAATTTATCTATTATCCACATTCACAATCAGAATATATCATAGCGGCAATACAAATGGCGATGTGTGCCCGGCAGCGGGTCAACCCCTGTTTCCGTCCAAATGTAAAAAAAACGGTTAATGTCGTCAAAAAGATTATGCTTCCTGGAATTAGAGATTTACTTGCAGAAAATACATTTTAATTTGAGGAAATATGGTAATACACCATTGATTTAACATTCGCATAATTCCAACCAACAATTTTTGTATTCCAGAGTATAAATTATATAATATATTTTGTTAATGTCGGTTTGTAGAAAATTTCAGCAAAACTTTATTGATGCAATAAGAATATAATTTATAATTTAAATTTATAAATTTTAATCCATTTTGTCTCAACAAAAGTTTATTTACTGCGAACGCAATTTTATTCTTGTAATTAATTTTTTGGTAATGTTTGATATTAAAATGTTATAATTAAGCTCAGGGAAAAATTTCTCGCTGTGTATTATTGCATAATCCTGTATACCCTTTCCATTTCTGCTTTTTCTTTATTTTTTCTATTTCTACTGTCGTTTAACTAATAAATTGAAGAGTGGGACTTGAATTTGATAAAGTAAGTGATACGAAACCAACTTAGAAGTCTGTTACGACATTCGGTACGAAAGTCGTTTAATAATGTGCGAAGGTTTCAAGCAATGAAATTATATCCAAAGAGGATTGACAAACCCTTCATTTTCAGGGCAACAATTTACATAAAATTCTAAACGAAAATGGATACCATTGCTAAGTTGGCTTTAATGCTGGGATATTGTAGATATTTTGAGGATTAATTTTTTTGTTGTTGTTGTGACATTTGCACTTTTCAGAGAAGTAATTTGTTTTTGGAATTTTTGGTTCCACTCTCTAATGCCAAATTCCTAAATATACACTAATAAAGAGTGCTCAAATTGTCACAAGAAGTCAGACGAGTTTCAAAGTTAATGTTTTTGGTTGATGAGTAACTGATACTATTTTGACACTGTTACTCATTTGTATTGATACTGTTTTGAAAATGTTTACTATTAAATACGGTAATAAAATTTTTTAGTCACTAGTTAATCAAACACTGCGTCCACTGTTGCAAAATCAAATTTTGACCACAGCTTGATATCTAACATAAATTTTCAATGTATTCTTTTGAATATCTGATAATAGTGTTATGAGTAATTGGCATTAATCACTTACCTGCTAAGCTTATAGTGAGCAGCAGTATTGCGGCAGCCAATAAGAACATATTAACTGGACACGGTGTCTAATTTTGCCCCTAACATGGCGGCGTCGCATTAGGGACATTCAGAGGAATACCGAGCAGCCTTTCGACTGCCTCCTCATACCTTAGAATGGTTTCTTGAAAGCATCTGCAATAAAAAATATATATAGATATGATGACCAAAGAAACGAAAGAATCCCTTTCACATTTTAATTGTTTTCAACCAAATAATTGCTTTATTCTGTGAAATGGATAAAAATAGTACCCAAAGTGGCCAATATGTGGTTGTCAAATCTCTAGTGAATCAACGTCTGGGTAAGTTTTTCGAGTGACTCGCATTTATTTCAGTATAAGTAGTACAGTGCTATTTATGGTTATTTACGTTAAACTATTATAGGGTGTAATAGTAAAGCGTAATTTTTGTTATAATTTGTTGATATATTAACAATTAACGTTAATGTTAACGGTTAACAACGAGAAGAGTTTTCATGACGCTGTATGGATACAAATAGATACAAAACAATCTATGGAACAGGAAGATATTTGCACCCTAAAGGATCATACTAACTAAAACAAGGCAAAATAATAAGCGAAGTCTTTATTTGAAACTTATTACTAAAATAGGAACCTCAAAAACCAAAAATTTTATCATATTTATATACTAATTATTTATTAAAATAACTATGATAGACCTACCTGCGTATGTGTATTAATTAATTAAATGTCAATTTCAATAACATTTGCAGTCGTAAAGGAATCAAATTGAATTTGAATGGACTCAAATCACGTCATATTCACCCATAAAACGTGGAACGATAATAACGTACGCATCCTGTCTTTTGGTCGGACAGCTAAAATTAATGTTATCGAAACTTCGCACGAAATTTGACAGTTCGATCGGGGAACTTTTCAGAAAAGAAACTCGAACCTGCGAAACCTATTTTTAGGGTTATTTTCGCACGACCTTCTCGTATCATAAAAACTGGTCGATGATTCGAAGTAGCGGTTAAGGAATTCGAAAATGGGGTTCTCTCGGTGTCTTTCTATACTTGCCTTTCGGGGTTCTTACTTTGATGACCCATAGTTTTTGGTTTTATCGGCTTAGTTTTCCAATCATTTGACGAATAATGTTATGTTGTTTTTAAATGGATATTTGTAACGTAGATGAAAGGAACTAATTTGCAATTACAATTGAACGTAGAGTGAAATCTAAAAAACGTTGATATTACAAATGATTAATTCCGTTAGCATACTATGGCCAAGGCATTACTTCATATCTTTCTCTATAGCGAAATTCTAAATATAAAATAACATTTTGTAAACAGAATTATAAAAACCGTTAAACTAGATTATTTAAAACGAATTTTTTCTTGTCTACTGGGGATTATCAGAGAAATTACTCAATGAACACGGAGGATAATCGGTTATGTTACCAAGGCGAACTTAAAATGTTTCTCAATATGTATGTCGTAAGAAATAATATAATAAAAATAATAAAATTGAAGTAGAACCTCGGAGTGGCCGGTTCTGATGGAGAGAGATGAAGAGAAAAGAATGCACAACACAGTGCTTAAAACAAATGAATAATCTAATCATTTAATTGATTATTAAAGGGAATCCAAAAAACCACCCACTAGATAAACTACACAATAGCCTAACAAAAATAAACTATCGGATCTACTTAAAATCCGACCTAACCAGTGCTTATAAAAAGCCAGACCATCTTCCCTGTTTCATAATATTACGAATGACAGAATTATAATTGTTTAGTCTAGACCGAAAAATAACATGAGTTAAAAAGAAACATTATAACACCCAACCAAAGGGCGCCGACATGTATTACATTTTAATCTGCATCATTTTTTCCTTTTTATAAGAAATAAACCCTGTTTAAAAAATAATAAATTTTTAAAAAATATTCTCTTATCTTCCGTTTCTATTTCTCTGCCTGGGTCAACTCGTGTCGCCCGTTACCGTTTCTCTGGTTATTTCTGTTTTAGGAATTATTTGTTTTTATTTTCACAGTGCTGATATCCTTAACCTATCTAAACTCTTGTTGCGTATACCCTTTCTTAAAAAGTTTCGTGTTACAGTTTTTTAATAAAGCAAAATTATCTTTTTGTCATCATAAATCATAAATAGTTGGAATCGTTAACTTCAGAAAAAAACAGTTTTCTGCGTGATTAAAAACTTAAAAATTAAGACTTAAATCTTAAAATAATAATATGGGAGAAATGAATGTATTTTTTAATATGGATGTTTTAGTCTAGAATTGTTAAATATATATTATGTCATTTTTTCATAATTTAACTAAAGCTTATGAAGACTAAAACGACTTTTTTGATAATTTCTTGAATCATTTAGTTTAATGATGAACGAGCGAACGAAAACTTATATCCGGAATTTGAAAGAAAATTATTTAAATTGGCCTTTTGCAGAATTGGAATGGAAACTTTCGATCCTTAAGGCGGAGTTTGTTATATTTCATAATTATTTAAAATTTTAAACTTCTCAAAAGTTCTCCAACTACACTTCAGATTTCACCACACTGATTGGCACTACTTACCAAAACGCAATGACATGCAACCCTATCTTTTCTTCAATAATAAGTAGTTGTCAAGTGCAAGTAAATAAATCGAAAATTAATATTTCTAAGCAAAACTGAAAACCTTGTCATCGACTCTCAGCAACTTAGAAGAAAAATCCTCCTAGATATGAGGACCCTGTCAGGAGCGCTATAGTAAATTATCACATTTAAAATAATTTCTACCGACTGTAAATAAGAACTCTTAGTTGTATCAAACTTTTTAGTTGTGTTTGCATTATCGAACTGGGTCAGGAACTGCTCTTGTAATTGTGTCCCAACTCAACCCCCACATCATTCTATGTATTTACTAATTTTAATGAAATTTGGGTACCCAAAGTAAAAACTTTAATATTAGTAATATGTATTTCCTTCCTTTTAGCCTTCGGTAGTCTTGTTATGAGATAGAGAAATCGTGAATTTTTGCGGTAAAATTTGTTTCGCTTGTTAATGTACTGTGTCAATAATGTATAACTATCGTATCATTTTAATTTGGAGATTGTGTTTACGCCGGACATTCTGGCTGTTCTCTGGGAACGTAATACTTTAAGCGAACTACAACACACCTTGAAAGCCATTAATTTATTGTTTCCGAGTTTGGATTTCATACGTAAATAATTTTTATCGTATTAGTGTTAGTTTCAATAACTTAATAATAATAATAGTTACACATACATATGGTTTGCCGCCCTTCCTTTAAGCCAGTCGTCATCAAACTTATGAAATTCACCTGTTGGTTACGACTTGAATGAAGGTACATAAAACGAATGTTCATGTTTCTTCGAGAATGATGGAAATAATTAAACTTCATCTTAGCGAAATCTTAGCTCTCATAAATCCTGTATTCTATAGAGCAATAAAATGTGTTACGACTTTCTGGTATAAAGTTTGAAACATTCCAAGAATCATATTAAGCGACGCGATGCGACGGGGAGTTTTAAGTTGAAGCTCATGTTTATTTTATTTTATCAGCAGTGGAATACCCTCGTAACTTTATGTAAGTTTTAGTATGCATTTGTCGATCCAATACATCTAGTTTCCAAAATAGATCTAATTTGGATGAAAGTGGCTTGAAAATCCTGGCCTCGAATATCTTCCGGGCAACTACACTAAACTAGAGATATGAAGGTCTTGTCTATTTCGAGGCCAATATCAAAAAATGTTTCGAAGCAACTTTCAATATGGGCATGCACAACGCGTTTCAGTTTGGATTTGGCATTGGACGGTAATGGTTCAATTCTGGGCCGTTTGCCATAAAAACGTCTCACAGATATCCATCGACATATTATTCTTCTTATTCTTATAATCCGTCATTGTACCAATGGTTATCCACTTTTGAATTAAAATAAGTGCATTTTCAAAAACTGATGCAAAAATTATTGCTATGCAAATAAACCTGCTTAAAATTGTAATAAACCCTCTGATTATGAAGTATCGATCACGAAAAAGAATCCAAAAAATTTACATGTAACACCAAAATTATTGTTAATTTGATTGACTGATGATTGAATTTTATTAAATTTAATTCATAGCTTTTACAGTTTTATTTAAATAAGAATAACCAATTGGTCAGTAGTTTTTAAATATTCGATATTGTACAAAAACCAAGTTGTTTGTATTTGTATCAACGAAATCGCTATTTGATGATAGCACAATTATCACAACTGCCGCTACTTGCCTTATTATGCATACTATTTATCATCACTTGAGCGCAGTTGTGTAAATAACGATCCAAATGAAAACTGTTTTAATTAATGATACTGAACAACTTATACTTCGGTTATAAAAAACCTGAATGAATACCATATAAAACAAAACATTTTCGTAAATTACTAACTAAACTAATTTATTTATTTATATGATAAATACATAATGGACCTTTTGCAAATGGTTTTGCACAGCTTGTGTTCGAAGCTTTAATGCTTAATGGCAGTATGGGTTAAGAGTTCGGGAAGTTTAACAATAATTACAGTTTGTGCCACTAATATCTAAATCTCTCTCTCGGTATACGCCATTGTTATCGATATTTATGCCAGCTGGATATTCATTCGCAGGACTAAATTAAATTCAGTTTGAACGATTTCATCTAGATCTAATCAGCACTGTTTTGGCGCATTTATGGACGATGATGTAGAGTAAGAGTAAATGAATACTCACTTCCCACCAAAAGCAATAATCAGAAATACTATATATTTATGGTTAGATATCAATTGATGGAGCTGACAAGACGAATATTTAATTACATTTGTTTCTATAAAAAGAACTTCAAACAGAAGAGCCGTGACTAACATTTTTGCTTCTTTTTAATGGAATAGCAAATTTTTAATCTCATAATAAAATGTTTATCATTTTCAACATTATTCGGCAATATTATAACTACTATAAAACAAAATGCTGCTTTATCCCTTAATCTTTACGATGCTACAATAATCATTACAGCACATTACAAATTTTTACTATACTTTACAATGACCTTGTTGTTTCACCTCGCTGTACATTATTCCTAGGATTAATGCGAATTTTCATAGGTATACAGGTTTAGGTACTCAATGTACACCTCTCCA